TTGGCTACTGAGGGAGACACAGATAAGTGGAGAGAAATCCAACAGGAGTAGGATGGGTTGGATATCCATCCATGGCACACAGAGGGAGGGAAAGCGATACGGTTGTTTTGGGAACATTATGTACAAGATGCTGGCAAGGCATTTTAATGACAGTGATCAGTCAAACTGCTGGACATTCTAATCTGGTATACAGAACAATTAAGAGAGAAGGATACATGAGGCATCTGAATAAAGTGAATATCAACAGCGACATTAATATGACCCTTTACACTTCGCAGATCACTTCAGCACTTAGTAACTCAGTTGGTATTTAATATAACTCCCTGCAATGAAGCAGGTCTTAATATGGCATTCTAGAAACATGAAAATCAAAATTACTTCATGTAATTTTGCTTAAGCTTTTAACACTAGTAAGTGACAGAACCAGGACTTGAAACCAGGCTATCTGACACCAAATTCTGAGATTTTTGGTGTGTGATTTTCATTACACTACAGAGCCTATGCAATGAGGATTTGAGCTGTGGAAGATGAGTTTCCAAGGGGAGAAGATATGGTCACCATAGCTTAGGACACACCTATTTTTAGGGACTGCAAAGAAGAGAGCAAAGTAAAGGAAAAAGCCATAGAGAAGGAGAAAGTGACTGGAGAGTATTTGGCCCTAGAAAGCAGGTGGTGGGCAGAGGGTGGCGAGCTCCTAGAGTGAGGGAATGGCTAGCATTATCAGATATTACCTAGAGGATCAGCATGTTCATTGCTAAGAACAAATCACTTTCTTTACTGCACATTTTGCCTTTCTCATTTCATGCTCATTCTCATTTCACACATTGTGGCTTTAGATCCTAACTAGATTATAAGTTCCTCGAGGGCAGCATCCAGGTCTTATTTTCCTTCTTGTCTCTGTACTGCCTAACACAGTTAGGCATATAGGAAATACATAGGCTAATAGGAAACATGGAAGCTCTCTGCATGCAGGTGATTAATCATCACTAAAATTTTTCCAAAGGCACAGTCACTAGTGCCAAAAGCACATTTGTTTAAAATGTGTGCTTAACTTTGAATGAATCTGCCTAAATGGTGCCATCTGTTCTTAGGCAGTTTCAGAAACATTTTAATACGATTTTACCTTTAAAAGGACAAATGTAGGGCCATGCCTATGAGACATAAAGACATCCTTAAATAAACACAGAGCAGACACCAGCGCATCCAATCACACTTAAAAAGCTCCACATAAAGAATGTTTTCTGAGGTTTAAGAAATTTTTATCTAAGAGGACACCAACTGCTACTTCATGCAGAAAATATTTATGAGACGTTACAAAACTGTAGGCACGGACTCCTACAGCATATTACTGCATTTTAATTACAGACTCCAGAATATACAATTTTAGTTTATGTGAATCTTATATTCCTTTGAAATGGGTACACTCTACCACTATTCATTTATGGCTCACATTTTATTGGTTTCAGAATATCAGTTTCGAAGCTGAAGACAGCTGTTGAGAAGTCTCCATGTTATTTGTTTATATTGATTGTCAGTTTGACTTTTGTTACAGTATTGTAGGATTTATTGTTGCGCCACTATCACAGTGAAATGAAACCCATGTTTAAGTTCTGCAAATAACTTACAGTCACTTCCAAAACACCTCAACTTAGGTTCTAAATTTGAGTTTGCGGTTTTACATGCACAGTTATTTGCTGATCCGCTTTAGCAGGCAAAATCACACACTGGCCAGGTTTGGGCATAGTTATTGTGGCAACAAGTAATGGGTCAAATTTTCGGCCTGTTTAACTCACTAGCTACATCATCATCACCAAAACTATGCCAGCATTTTGACATCTGTTTATTTTGCTAGTTGGTGTAAATCAACTCTGGTGTATATCAAGAATTTATATTTACAAAAAGAATTTCTGGTTGAATTACCATTCAAATATGTTACCCTGTCTGCACACATGTGCATCCATATTGAAATTTTTTGGTTAAATCTCATTTTGCAAAGGTGGAGATCTGAACATATTTACTCATATGAATACTCACTTGGAATATTTTTAGTTTTTTTGTTGTTTGACAGGATGATACTACTAACTTGTCACTTGTATCTTGAATCAGATTAATTTCTTTCTTGTTCCAAAAAATGTAAAACACAAAAAAGTACAGAGAATAATGTGACCAACATCCATGTTTTCCAATCCAGGATTTGCTTCCAATAATTTTTAAGTAAATGAAAAAGAATATTGCAGATAAAGCTGAAATCCCTTTCTTGGCCTTTCATTTCCATCCCTCACAAACACAACTGCTATTATTAATTTGCTGTATCCTTCTGGTCCATGTTTTTATACTTAATGACCTAAGTTATAGCTTCATGAACGATAGATAATATTGCTTTTTTAATTATGTAAATTCTATCATAGTGTTCATATCATTATTTAACTTTCTATTTTTTCTCAGCTTTCTATTTTAGAAATCCATTTATGTCAATCTATCCAAAGTTGCTTTATTTTAACATCCCTGTAATTTGCATTATCTCAGTTTACTAATCTTTTCTGTCACAGATGTCTACTTAGGTTGTGTGTCTTGCACCAATTTCTTGCTATCCCTAATAATGTTGCAGTGAAAGTCCACGTATATGTGTCCTTATCACATATCATGCATATATATATACACACACACATACACACACACATATATATGTATACCTGTCCAAGATTTCTCTCTAGGAAATATATCTAGTAGTTTATTGATGGCTGTGGGTTATACGTATTTGGAACTTTGCCATATATTATCAGATTGCTGTCAAAATTTATTCTTAACTTATATTTCTACCAGCAGTACATAAAATTTCCCATTTCCTTATATCTCCAACGACATGTATTTTGTTAGACTTTATTTTTTAAACCTTATAGTTGTAAGTTATGTGGTTCTGATTATGTATAAATTTGAGCATTTTTTCAAACATTCATTAACCATTTCCAGATTTCTTCTTTATAAGTTACCTAGTCATATTCTTTGCTTACTTTTTCTCACTGATTTGCAAGAGTTCTTTATTTATGTATTTATTTATTTATGTATGTGTTTATTTTTGAGATGGAGTCTTGCTCCGTCACCCATGCTGGAATGCAGTGGCATTATCTTGGCTCACTGCAACCTCTGCCTCCCGGGTTCAAGGTATTCTCCTGCCTCAGCCTCCCAAGTAGCTGGGATTACAAACATGCACCACCAATCCTGGTTATTTATTTATTTATTTATTTATTTATTTATTTATTTATATTTTTAGTACACACGGGGTTTCACCATTTTGGTCAGCTGGTCTCAAGCTCCTGATCTCAAGTGATCTATCCACCTCGGGCCTCCCAAAGTGTTGGAATTACAGGCGTGAGCTACCGCACCTGGCCAAGTTCTTTGTTGTTAACGTTTTGTCAGCCATATGTATTGCAAATATCTTCTAGTGTTTTAATTTTTTGGTGGATTTTATCAGACAGAAGTTTTTACATTTTGGATTATCTTGGTCAAATAGTTTAAATCAATTTATTTTTGTGTTTTATGTCTTAAAGTATCCATTACCTCCTTGGGTTGATTACAGTATGCTTCCATGTTTTATTGTATTTGTGCTAAAGTTATGTTATTTCACACTTAAAGCTTTAATCTATTCTGGAATTTCTTTGTGTGCATAGTGTAAGGAAGCAATCTAAGTTTATTTTTTTCAAGATGGATAGCTGGTTATTCCAGTACCATTTATTAAATCAGTGCATCCTTTCTTCACTGTGGTGTGATGTCACCTCTGTCCCATACAGAGCTCCTCAGTGAGCACAGCATGTCTCACTGTCCTAGCTATCTGCTCCTACACCAGCACCACACTGTTCTAATTACTGTAGCTTTGTGGTATACCTTGATAGATGGCAGGAAGGTCTCCTTTCTTGTTCTTCTTTCACAGAATTACTTTTCATTTTTTTCTTTTTATTTTTTGATGGAGCAACTTCAGTAAGGAAGTGTAAACAGCATTACTTTTCATTTTATTTGAAGATTTCTCTTCTGTATGCCATTTAGGATCAATTTGTCTTTTTTCTATAAATAAAACCTGTAGCATTTTTATTTCAATTGCATTGAATATATAGGTTAATATGTAGACATTTACATATAGATTAATGTTGAGTTTTCCCATCTATGAAATGGTGCATTAATATCCTGCATACCATTTATTCCAGGTTTATTTGTCCTTTAATATTATCTTACCACTTTCCCTATAAATTACATATCCTTTAGAAAATTCATCCCTTATTATTTCATTGTCTTTCTTGCCATTGTGAATAATATTATATTTTCTGATTAATTGTCACTCTGAGTTATTAGAACCTCATTGATTTTATGTATTCATCTCACCTCCAGCAACCATACTAAACTTTTTAGTTCTTAGCCATTTGTTTGGAGATGCTCTTGCATTTTCTATGTCGACCACCATATATTTTTGTACACAATGACATTTTTAATTTCTTCTTTTCCTACTATTATGCCTTCTATTTCTTTTTCTTGTTTATTATATTGTCTAGGGCCTCCACTTTAGTGTTGAGCAGTAGCAGTGATGGTAGGTTTCTTTGTCTGTGGCTTTTGTTTACAATTGTGATCATGAATTTTTCTGATACACACATTCTCACCTCTTTCCCCATGAGATTAACATTAAGCATTTTCAAGCATTAAGCCCAGGTTAATGCCTGGATTATAGACAGGTAATGAAATAAAGTTATATTGGCAAGAGGACTCGATCTATACCTCATTAGAACTCTTTTCTCACTTTCTGAGTCAACCCATCCATGTTTGTCATCAGTAATCCAAGAGGTAATACATTCAAAACAACTTACTTGAAAGGTCTTAGTCACAAGTGGTTTTGCTCCAGTTGACAGCTGGCTTCATGAGAAATGTCTTGTCACTAGAAATATTATTTTAAATGTTTTGATAGTCTTCAAAAATTTTCATTGTTCAAATAATTTTTCTTTTGCAATTTTTTATAGACTCCTATGAACCAAGCTTCAACTCGTTCCCACTGCATTTTTACTATTCATTTGTCAAGCAAGGAACCAGGATCTGCAACAGTACGACACGCCAAACTCCATCTGGTTGACCTGGCTGGTTCAGAGCGAGTCGCGAAGACTGGAGTAGGGGGCCATCTTCTAACCGAGGCCAAGTATATCAACTTGTCACTACATTACTTAGAACAGGTAAAATGGGCAGAGTGGGATGTATTAATAACTATAGCTACCATGTGCTGACCACATACTATGTATCAGGCATTCTATTAGAATTTTTTTAATTATGATAAAATATATGTAACATAAAATTTGCCATTTTTTGAGTACATAACTCAGTGGCATTAAGTACATTCATAAAGTTGTATAACCATTGACACTATCCATTTCTGAAAGTTTTTTATAATCTCAGACAGAATCTTCCCATTCCCCTATATTCTAGTCCCTGGTCGTCTCTGCTCTACTTTCTGTCTCTATGAATTTGCCTATTCCAGATGTCTTGTGTAAGTGGAATTATGCAACATCTGTCCTTTTGTGTCTGGCTTATTTCACTTAGCATAATGTTTTCAAGATTCATCCATGTTGTAGCATGTATCAGAATTTCTTCCTTTTTTAAATTGAATAATGTCCAATTGTATGTCTATGTCACATGCTGATTATACATTCATCTCTTGATGGATACTTGCATTGTTTCTGCCTTTTGGCTATTGTGAATAATGCTGCCAGGAACATTGGAGATCTACTAGCATTTCATATATAGCATTTTGTTGAAACCTCGCAACAGCCGTAACACCTTTTTCTTGTTTATTATATTGTCTAGGGCCTCCACTTTAGTGTTGCAGGTGTTAGTTACTATCCCCATCATACAGATTAAAAAATTCAAGTCTTCCAAAGGCCTTCCCACAAGGTTACCCAGCTAGGGGAGGGTGAGGATTTCAACCTAGATTTACTTGGCTTCACAGCCTATACCTTTTCCCACTTTTTGTCTTACTGCTTTATTGTAAAATTGAGTAGTTGGTGTAAATAGAGGTTACAAATGGCTTCCTTTTGCCTGTTTTCAGGCTAGTGGATTAACGATGGGAGCATGACTTTGAGATAACCGACATGTTTTCTGCTTGGGGAAACTGCATTTCGTTGGTCATTTTGACCCCGCGATGATTCTCTTAGCCTTGTCGCTTTCCCTTCCTACTTCTACCCCAGGCTGATTACCATCTACCCCAGTATGTGCTCTATTTTTAATTTCTGAATTTAACACCGGGGAAGAGAACACTCATCTGAATTTAGCTAAATAAATCTTTCAGGAAAAAAAAAATTCATCTCTCAAATGAGTGGATTGAATTAGATGATTTCTCAAGTTCCATTTAGCTTTTTGAGTATAAGGGCTGTGAGTTGAATGTTAAAGATGGCAACTACTTCCAAATTCTAAAAAATAAAAATAAAATAAGAAATAAGAAACATGATCAAAAATTGGAATGGAGAAGTACAGAGTCTTGGTGAGGCAGAAGGACTTGCTAACGAATGTTGCAGCTAAAAGATTAGAGGGGAAAAAATAAAACCTTTTTTTAACTGCTTAATGAATCCTTCTGAGACTGATGTTGCCTTGATGTTAAATGCTATGTAATCATCACATTGGCTAAAAAAGCAGATGGAGAGAAACCTAAAGGACCCTATCTGAACAAGGTGCACATGGCCAGACTCCAACCAGATGAATCCCAGTCAGGCAGCACCCAGAGATTAAGGCCTGCCTGGTATTCAGATCATTCTAGTGTTTTTAACAAGAGTCAGCATTCCTAAGCTCTTTCTTGCTCAAATATTACACACTACTTATACTTAACAGAGCTTTTTACTTAATAGAACACTTATAGAACATTGATATGAAAACATAATGAACTGTATTCAAAGAAATGTGTCTGCTTGTTTCGGATGGTAGCACTGTCTGTTTTAATTTCCATTATATCCATCTGTTCATACAAAATTATGTTCATCAGTTGAATCAGACTTCCCACCAATTGTAATCACTCAAGAGAAATGTTCTGCCCTTAATTCTTTTTTTGTTTTTTTAATTCTATAAGCCTTTGCAAGCTGCTATGTGTCACTAAAACTATTCCTCTCCTCACATTTCTTCTCTTCAAAATTCTTATGACAGCCTCATGTGAGTAGTCTTGGGGGCTATGTGGCATTGGATTTTCTATATCATTAATTTGTTTATCAAACAAATATTTATAATGACCTACCATGTGCTGAGGGCTGTACTAGGCACTGGAGTCCAGTGTGAACAAAATAGAAACAGTCCTTTCCCCAAAGACCTCATGGTATAATGTAGGGAGACATGAATTAAAGACGTAGTCTTTAGGTATGTGGCTGTAAGCCAGGTGAGAGCAGTGAAGAGAAAGTAAAAGGAGTGAGAGGAGCTTGTAGCAGGGTGTCTGACCGAGACTGAGGAGGTGAGAGTTGATGATGGTTTTCTTAGGGCCTGATACCACGCGGAGGAATGAGTAGAGGCAAGCCAATCAAGGATGGGGCACAGCGTGTCAGGTAGTGGTAATTGTGAGCCTATCAGCTCTTAGCTCCACCCCAGGGGGATGAATTTGCTCAGGGTCTCAATGACATTCACAGGTCATTGGCCCTTGGTCTCTGTAACTGATGTTTCATTTTCACCCACTGCATCACTCCAGCTGTTAACCATTTACACTGATACACAAGTGTCTTCACAGAAAAAGAGGAGGTTCAACATAAGATAATGGAGAGAAAAGAGATTAGTGGGAGAGGAAAGAAGAACATAAATATGGAAAAACTAGTCTGTGAACGTGGAGATGTGAAATCTAGGAGTAGCTGCTAGAGAGCAAGTAGGTCGATAGAAGAGAAATTTTTGAATTTCACACAGAAAGAAGAGAAAACCAAGGAATGCATAGGAATAAGAATAATACATAGAGTGGGAAGATATTTAATGAATAACAAAATTCAAGGACTTATGTTAATCAGCTTCTCTTTATGTAGTACTTTATTATGGGACTAATGAGACTGGAAGTGTAACACAATTTAGTTTAATTAGTTTCATTCATTCATTCATTCAACAAATTATGATTGAATATTTACTGGGTGCTGTGAGTTACATTAGATAATGGGGATAAATGAATGACTGAGAAGTAGGAGGGGCTATCATGTTAGCAGAACAGCAAAGCATACAAATAAATACTTAGCTATATAGTAATTTAAAACCTGTAATAGAAATCCATATGAGTGTTGGTAATCAATTATAACCCTATCCCCTCTTTCTCAGTTTTAATATGTAAGATAGAGATGGAATGGGAAACCATTTGGTAACTTGCTTTACCTTAATTAGCCTACATTGGTTCCACAAATTCCATGCAGCATTATAATTACTCTTTTGGCCATAACTGTGAGACTTCACACCTGCTCAAAGAGTGCAACCTCTCTGAGTTGAATGTACTTTATTGTGTTCACAAGTAAATAACTTTCTTTTTGCCAGAGTATGGTTGGTTTTGGAGTTCTCCTTGTATATGCAGTACTTTTTCCAAAAAGTTTCCTCAAAGACATTTTAAGCCACAATAACAGGGTACATCTTGGCCTTAGAAACTGAGTTCATGGGAGGAAAAGGGAGACGTACATACTTGTCCTAAATCTCACCGAGTGCTCCTGGTGTGACCCACAGCCTCTATCAGCCTACACATCAAGTGAGAAACCACTGCAAATGAAGTGCTTGCTCTGTACTGCTACAGAAATCAGAATCAGAGTTGCCTTCGGCCATTATTCAACACAAATGGGACTTTTCCAGAGTTTTAGTTTCCATTTGGCTTCCACTGAATGTGTTGTGTGCAGGAGAAAAAGTAATGGTGTCAGTGCCAATTGCAACACTCCAAATTTTGTCAGTTTTCATAGGATAACTTTCCAAACACTTCTGAACTCTTTTTTTTTAAAGTCTTTAACTCATTAAATAGTAAATAGAATTATTGATTGCCGGCACAGTTTCTAGGTACTTGGAGATATTATTAAGCATAATGTGAGGTTCCACTCCTTGTCAGTTAGAGAATAACTTCAGGAATATTAACCATTGTATTTGTACATGCAATCTAAGATGGAAGGAAACGATAAAAAAGTCAGGTTTTATGACCACCCCATTTGCCTGTGCCTTTCAGATCATTTGGCTCCTGCCCAATTTCAGAACTCACAGCAGCCCCACAAAGAATAATCTACCTCTGCCTCTTTCCTGAATACCTGCCATTTCTGGGTCATTCCAAAGTTTTACATCTGCTCCAAGTGGGCTGGGCTTATAGTATTCCTAAAACTCCTTGAGAGCGGATAAGATACCTTCTCAGGGTCCTCTTCTAAAGAAATGGCCCAGGACTGTGTTTATATGATGAAAATTAGTCTTCGAACATTTCATAAAGAACATTTCATGAAGAACATTTCCTTCTATGTCACTGAGTGCTTTTATGCTTACTGAGAACTATTCCAGAAATTATCTCTATTAATCTTTAAAATATTTCTGTGAGATAGACATTCCAATACCACATTTATAAGTGAGGGAACTGAGGCTCACTTTATTTAAGAGGCTCACTTTATTTAAGAGATTTCCCTAAGATGACTGCCTTCATTTTCTCCATTTTTAAGACCATATTTTCTAATCCATAATCCCAGTTTGATCTCTAATTCTTTAGAGAGCCCTTTCTAGAGAGGACATTGGAATTGCCTTTGCAATGTCCATAACAATGAGAAGTGCAGCCAGGAGCCCATCCCAGCTCCCCAGTAGATTCTGACTCACCTAAGTGAATTGGAGCCTGTCTTTCTCCTGCCTACAGTGATAGTTCAAGGATGGGCCCAGTACCCAAGCTCATATCTACTGAAGCTCAGGAATTTTGTTTAGTGATTAGGGAAGAAGAATTCTTTCTCACTTAAGTTATGAATAAGGAAGTACATAACATCAGAGCTTTTGGCAACCATTGTGGGGCCACAAGAAGAGACTGACTTCTACCACATGGAAGATATAGCAGAGGTATGGGCAAAAACTAAGTCCTTGATAGTAGCATTAATCTTTTGGTTTCCTTCTAACCTAAAGCCTTTCCTGTTTCAATCACATGAACCAATAAATTTCCCTTATAATTAAAACCAGTTTGGGTTACATTTTCTGTTGCTTGCAACCAAAAGCAAGTTTACTAACACATGATTTAATTTAATATCAACAGGGGTCAGGCACGATGGCTGACGCCTGTAATCCCAGCACTTTGGGAGGCCAAGGTGGGTGGATCACTTGAGGTCAGGGGTTTGAGACCAGCCTGGCCAATATGGTGAAACCCCGTCTCTACTAAAAATATAAAATTAGCTGGGTGTGGTGTTGCATGCCTGTAATCCCAGCTACTTGGGAGGCTGAGGCTGGAGAATTGTTTGAATCCAGGAGGCAGAGGTTGCAGTGAGCCAAGGTTGTGCCTTTACACTTCAGCCTGGGCAACAAGAGCAAAACTTCCATCTAAAATATATATATATATAAAAAATATATATATGTGTGTGTGTGTATACACATACATATATATCAACAAGAAGTTTAATAAGCATATTCTCCTTTAGGTTCTCTAAGTTGTCAATAAAGCCACTGAATGAAAAGACATCAATATTGTTTCCTAGGAGCAGGAAAAAACCAGTGGCATTTGTTTTATAAAAGGACTTCAAAGTACGTAGAGAAATTATTTATAAACAATAATGCCACACTCTCTGCACATCTGTCAGCCCAGCCCCTGTTTGGGTATTTGGGCCCACCTTGCCTGTTTCAGATACTTAATCTGTCCTCTTTGTTCTTAGAGTGTGGAGTTCTGCTTGGCATCTATTGCCACTCTGACTTGGATCTGCCATATTCCCCACCTCCTTTCCAATGACACTGAAACTTAGTTCTCTCAAACCTCATTCCATACTGATGATCTTCACACTGCTTTCCTGGGACATACTAAGTAATCTTCTCATGCATTCGTTGATTTATTTTAAAAAATTTGTTGAGCACATTTTATATTCATCAAATTTCTTTGTTGTAAACTGGAAAATCCGCTCTAGCTATTGTAAGAAGCATGGCTTATTAAACATAACAAATCTCAAGAAAAGTCAGAAAACTGGGTTTGGCTGCTACACAGAGCGACCAGGAGACGTACCTAACTGCTCTGCAAAGTACTACTGTATAGTCACATGGCACTGGATTCCAGAAACTTCCCTGCGGCTGCCTCAGAAGAACCAGATGCCTCTGCCACCATGCCCCCTATGAATCTGATGTTCTTCCTTATGGCTACCACCTCTCACTGCTCACCTCCAAACCCTACATAGGGCTGTCTGCTTGGTGGAGCTACGTCTTAAGCAAAACATGACTTTCAAGCCAGACTAGGAAAAGTGATTTCATAGGAAGTCAAACTAGAATAAGGGCTGCCACGAGAGCTGAGGGAGACAGCTTTGTTTCTGCCATGTTACCAAGTGCTGAGCACTGTTTTTGGCAGTGTGGGTCGAGCTATGAAGAAGAGAGACAACATCTCTGGCCTTGCAGAGCAGAAAGCCTAGAGGGGAAGCAGATAACAAATAAGTACCTAGATATAATTTTAAATAGTGATAAGTAGTATAAGAAAAATAAAATAGATGAACAGGCTGAAGATAGGTATATTATTTTTGATAGGGTGTCCAGGGAAGGCCCTTGTGAGAAAACAAAATTTGAGCAAAGATGTGAATAATGAGAAGCAGAAAAAAAGCTGTATGGAAATCTGGGACAAGAGCATGCTAGGCAGAAGGAACAGCAATTTCAGAGGCTCTGATGTGGGGATAAGCTCGACATGCTGAATCAACAGTCAGAAGGCCAGTGCAGGCCCAGGGAACATGACAGGACATGATGTCAGATAAGTCTGCAGGGAGGGATCACACAGGAGCTGGGATATTATACTAAGTGTATTAGGGAGCAACTTGGCATAACTTAGATTGTGTGAAGATTTTCTGGCTGCAGTATGGAGAACAGATCATGGAAGGGCAAAAGTAGAAGCGGGGAGACTAATCCAAGGCCTGTGTGGTTGCCCAAGCAAGGGACCCCAGAGGCTTGAACTGGAGTGGTGGTGGTAAGAAGAGGTGGCAAGAAGTGTTCCAATTCTTGCAAGTTTTGTAAGTAAACCTAATAGAAGTTGCTGATGGATAGGATATTGGGGATGAGGGCAAATCAAGGATGATTGCCTAAGGTTTTGGCCTGAGCAACTGGGTTGATGATGGGGCCTTAGTAATAATGGGTAAGATCTGGGAAAGAATCAGGCTTGGGGGCAGACAGGAAAGACAATCAAAAATAGAAATCCAGGTGGAGATGTGGAGTTTCCAAGATGATAGTAGCACAGGGAAGAGGTTGAGATTGATGGTATAAATTGGGAAGACATCAGGATATAGATGCATTTAAAAGCCAGGCAATGGCTGGGCACAATGGCTCACGCCTGTAATCCTAGCACTTTGGGAGGCTGAGGCGGGTGGATCCCTTGAGGCCAGGAGTTTGAGAACAGCCTGGCCAACATAGCAAAACCCCATCTCTACTAAAAATACAAAAAATTAGCTGGGTGTGGTGATGCACACCTGTAATCCCAGCTACTCCGGAGGCTGAGGCACGAGGATCACTTGAACCCCAGAGGCAAAGGCTACGGTGAGCCAAGATGGTGCCACCGCACTTCAGCACTCCAGCCTGTGCAACAGAGCAAGACTCTGTCTCAAATAAATAAATAAATAAAATAATAATTAAAGCCAAGCAATTGGATGAGATTACATAGGGAGAGAGTGTAGATAAGACAGAAAAGAGGATCAAGAACTGAGCCCCAGGGCACTCCAAAGTTTGTAATTTGGGAATAAGAAAAAGAAATATTCATTAACTAGTTTTTGAGGAAAGATGAAAACCAGGAAAGTGTGATGTCCCAGTTACCAAGTGAATAAAGCGTTTCCCAAGGGAGGCACTGAGTACCAGTGTTGCATACTTACTCAGCTCAGAAGTCTTGTAAGATGGCAATCAGTGTTCTTGGTACAATGAAGGTTGCTGATGACCTTGGCAAGAGCCATCTTAGTTTAGGACTGTAGTGGGCATGCAGAATGGGAATTGTCCAGATGAAAGGGAAATTAATTCAGAAGAGAGAGGAGGTAATTGTAGGAGAAAAGTAGGAGGGAGCAGATGAGGCCAAGGATGGAGGGCTGGCCTTAGACAGGAGCAGGACAATAAGAAGGCGAAGGGCAGAATGTACAGAGGCTTTAACGATGGAGACATGAGATAGCCCTGGTCAGGGTTCTGAATCTATATCTGTCATATCTAGTAGAAGTGTGGCCATCAGCTCAAAGTGAAATTGAGGAGAGGAGAGGGTGAAGAAAGGTTTGAAGGAAAAGGAGAAAAGTGTGAAGGTCTCATTTCTGAGAGTTGAAAAGTGATTTTTGAGAGAGAGCGATCACAGGATTACTGAATTTACCAACACCTGTGGTCATGAATTTAGAGTGAGACTAGTGGTATAGTTACGTATTTTGCTCAAAACAGCCTTCAGAAAGCAATGCTCCCTTTTTGTTTTGTAAACCAAAAAAGTAGAGGAAGTTCTGGTGATGGAAATTACACACCTGGGAGGAGGCAGGACTAGAACAATGACAGGTGTTGGCGGAGGTATTTTCAGGAGCCAGGGCCTTGTGATGCCCTTGAAGACACATCCTGTGGGTGGCTGATTCCTGCTGCCTTGTAATGAACGTTCTAGCACTGGTTTTGTCTGCCCAGGATAACCCTGAGCCCCAAGTGCCTCCTTTCGGGACAACCCCAGCAGTCTTTGCTCCATTTGCCATCCATTCATCTAGTACCTTCCCATTAAGTACCTAAGGAACTCATGAAGTGTAAAGTGAGCAAGCCTGAGCTGAACCAAGGTAAACTACCCCTGTTGCTTACAATGGGAGCAAACCTATATTCAGCACTTGTTATGGGCTAGGTGCTATTCAAAGTAATTTGCACATTTTAACTCTTTTAATCATCTCAACTACCTGTGAGGTAGGTACTATTTTTATTCCTGTTTTACAGATGAGGAGACTGAGGCATGTTGAGTGGCATGCCCTAGGAAAGCTAGGACTTGCACCTAGACAATCTTGCATGAGAATCTGGGACTTCAACCACCATCCTATACTGTTTCCCTTAGTTTTTGTTTACTGGCATACGGCCCAATTTTGGTAGTATTAAAGTAATTAAAGTAATCAGGCATGTTTTACTCTTGTGTTTTTATACAAATTTTCCAATCGCTATAAACAGAATAACAGTGTATCCAGTTCTATACAGGTTATTTCATTTGTCTAAAACTCATGGGGCTCACAATGCTACAGTTATGGTACATTTACTTTATTCAGTCTTCACCATCTTGTAGTGAATATTGTTGTTAAGATATTTATTCTGTACTCAAGCTTTGGGCTTCACCCTGCATTTAGTTATTATTTCCTTTTGCATTTTTATTGCTGTTGAAGCTCCGTTGTTTGTCAGGTGTGCATTTTCTGCTAAATTAATCCCTTTACCTTTCTACTTTACCACAGGTTATCATTGCCCTTTCAGAAAAGCATCGTTCACACATTCCTTATAGAAACTCCATGATGACCAGTGTCCTACGAGACAGTTTGGGAGGGAACTGCATGACAACTATGATTGCAACACTCTCCTTGGAGAAAAGGAATCTCGATGTATGTTGGCTCTTCTTTCTGGAGATCTTAATCTAGGTTTATACTGCTAGCTGGTGAGACAGAGTTGAGGATCTTGGGTGGGTTTCTACCTTTTCAGCTGGGTTGAGTTATGCCTTCAGAGGGCAATACCCTACAGAGTTCACAGCTGTGGGCTATTTGTCATTGTTATAATAACTCCATTTGAGAATTGACTTCACACAGCACAGGATAGTTTGAAGAAGCCTCATACACAGATTTTGGAAGGCCTACTGATGGGTTGGCCATGTCACCCAAAGAAATGGGAAAGCTGACCCATCCGCTTCTCTTGCTTGATGTTGCCCTGATGACTAAGAGCTGGATACCTTGGAGATATCTCTGAGATGTGTCCCTAGAAACGTTGCTGAGTGAAGCAACCGGGATGCTTTGGCGGGAGCCAGCTACTGAATGGCTCTTCTGGGTTGCTTTAGAGCCAGCTGATGTTTCATGTTTGGGATCCAGACACTCCCCAGAGGAGGAAACAAAGCTAAGACTTTGATTGTAAGATGCCTTGACCAGACTCTCTTTTTGACCTGTTATGAATCTTTATTTTGTGATCTTTCATGTGTGTGGATTATGGCTCTTGCTCTGATTATGATTCATATATGTGGTTCTGGTCTAAGTGATCAACAACTGAAAACACATACTCTACCAGCTGCCATTTAGGACCTTGTGATCTCTCACTTTTTGGCATTGGTAATTTTATTAAGCCAAAATAAAATTTAGTTAAAAAATAATGTTCTAGAGCAGGAGTCCCTGACCCCCAAGTTGTGGACCAGTGCGAGGTCTGTGACCTGTTAGGAGCTGAACCGCGCACCAGGAGGTGAGTGGTGGTGGAGCCAGCAATACTGCCTGGGCTCCACCTCCTGTCAGATCAATGGTGCCATTAGATTCTCATAGGAGTGTGAACCCGATTATGAACTGCACATGCAAGGGATCTAGGTTGTCTGCTCCTTATGAGAATCTAATGCCTGATGATCTGAGTTGGAACAGTTTCATCCTGAAACCACACCACCTGCACCCTCTGTCCGTGGAAAAATTTCTACCACAAAACCAGTCCCTTGTGCCAAAAAGGTTGGGAACTGCTGTTCTAGAGCAAAGCTTCCTAATTTAGAGGCATAGTTCCTCGTTGTGAGTTTTATACACATCACTTTTTAGGTATGTATCTTTTTTCTGTGAATAAAAATTAAGCTTTCTCTAGAGAGAGATCTCTGTATGCCATAATATTTTAAGAAGTTACTTTGCTTTCTTAGGAGTCTATATCTACATGCAGATTTGCACAGCGAGTGGCACTCATAAAGAATGAAGCTGTTCTTAATGAAGAAATTGATCCCAGATTGGTAAGCACCTTTTAACTATATTAAAAAATATATTGAAGTATGTCAAAGATTAGCTACAACTTGTAGGTGCACTGACTCTGTACTGGGAATGTTCTAAGTAGTGGAAACATATTAATTCATTTAATCCTCTAAATAACCTGTAAGTAGATGCTATCTGTATCTCCACCTTAAAGATGACAAAACCGAGATAAAAAGATGTTTGATAACTTGCTCAGAGTCATAGTGCTAATAAGTAGCAGAGTCGGCCTTCACACCCAGGCAGTCTAACTCAAGAGCCACTGCTCTTCCTACTTGCAGCTTCCCATTGCTTCCCGTCAAAGACGTGCAGAGAATCCTAAGGACTCATACAACAGAATCACACATGATTACATTTATATGAATAACTTAACCTTTGAAAATACATCAGTTTAACTATCGAGAGACAATAATAGTACATCTTTGTGTGTGTGTGTG